TTGTTGATGATGAAATACACCCTCCCCTCTATTTCAACTGCACCCAAGTCATTTGAAGGAATACATTTCTGAGGCACTACAGACCAGGTGTTAGTACCTTCATCGTACACTTCCACAGGTGCCTGGTGCTCAAGGTAACCATCAATAGTTCCCCTCGCTACACACAGTCTGTTATTGACAACAAAAAGACTGGATTCAAAATGAGGATGGCAGGTTGACGCAAGTTTTGTCCACACATTGTATCTTGGGTCAAAACAATAAACTACAGCTGGTTTAATGACCGAACTGGAGTCTATTCCATCACCTTCCCTTTTTTTATAACCATAAATTACATACATTTTAGAGTTCATTACTGTTGCTGATACAGTAATTAAAATCTCCTTTTTTTCGTCTACTTTTAAGCGTTCCCCACCTTGCCAACTGTTATTCGTCAAACTGTACCTTTGAGGAGAATTTGACTCACTTATGGCGTAAAGATAGTCACCATCAGAACACAAGCACTCAACTCTGTGGTTGTTTCCGTATTTTGGTAATTCAACCCATGAGTTATTTACCACATCATATCGATGTATTAAATTAACGTTCTGCCGCATATGTGCAGCTACAAATAAGTAGTTTCCAATGCGTTCAGTGCAAAAGAAAAAGGAACTTTCTTCTAATCGAGCTACAGATGGCAAAGGTTTCCATAACTTCGCTTCGACATCAAAGTAATAAGCTATACACTGTGGTGAGTAAGGATCATACGCACCGTACTCGATGCCCTCTGCATCATCATCATCCTCGGGAACACTTATATGCATCTCATGGTGAAGGGCAACGAGCACCTAAAACAAGAGACAATCATTTGAAAACTCCTCTTTTCAGCTGACATTCTGGAATTTTTTTTGCAAAGAAAGTATTCGACTTAAGACTCAAAAAATATACAAGATTAGATGATTAATTTGTTGCGCACGTATATTCTTATTGAAATAGTTTTAATCGATCATGGCACGGGCAACACGACATGCAGTCTCTGGGTTAGTGTAAATATAGATACCCAGAGCATAGATGAAAACTTGCTTTCTTGATCAAGTGTCGGACTGACTAATTGACTAATTCTCAATGAAAATCATCGAACTCTGTCGCTGATAGAATCAGGACAACGAATTAACATGCAAATGACGCTCCAGAAATTTCAAAACTTGGAGCCAGTTGTTGTGAAACTCAGTGTGCTGTAGTGAAACAAGTGAGATATCGACAAAAGCTGCGTTCTAGATAAAGGAAGCAGTTAAGGAGCTTAGCTTTTCACTCACCGGTCTCATTGATCGAGGTTTTACTTTCTCAGCGGCAAACACATGAGAAGGCATGATGTGATGCATCATGGATTCTTGCAGATACATGTTTACCTCAGGAAATCGCTGCATTTCTTCTGTTTTCAACTCTTCAATCACAACCTTCACGTCTACCAGCCCCAGACGAACTGCTCCGATAACTTTTCCAGCAACTGCCATCCTCTCTTCCCCTTTGTATTTGATCCACTTCATCGCTGATTTGAATACGAAAGCTTCAGAGGATGAATTGAGGTCATCTCGACCAAGAAGGCTGAGTAGTTGATCTGCACTGATGTGAGTCAGGAATTCTTTAGTTTCGCAAACATCTTTGTACATGGATGCCATCTTGGCCTCTGCTACCTCTTGCAGATCTCTCAGACCGAGTCCTTCGGCAACCGTACACAACACGGAGTAGTTCTTCAGGTCAATTCTGTTTTCTGTGAATTCCTTCAATACGAAATCGCAACACAGTTGAACAACACTTGCTATTTGAAGCTGACTAGCTGCGAGAAGAACCTCACATACGCTCTTCTGGTTGACATGAAGATCACCAATGTAGATGGAGTCCATAATAATCTTGAATATCTCCGGTGAAATACAATACTTTATTCAAGAGAAGGAAAATAAAAAAATAAAATTGTAAAAGTATCTCTCGAAAGGGGATATTCTAGAGGTTAACCCTATACAAAAGATTCCCCGAAATACTTTTTTTTTCCTTTTACTTTACTTTTTTCTTTCATTTCGATCACTTCCTGGTTCGCTTCTTTCCCATCTGTAAATATGGAGTGGAAATAATCGCTATACGAAGCAAGTACAACTCGGTGAGCTGGGAAAAGTGTATCACTCACTTTCAAACGTATGTCGATAAATTCTCCTTCTCTTCGGAACTGGGAACACTTAGAGAGGAGAATTCTAGAATGGGCCACCATCTTTGTGCTGTTTTAACGCGAAGATCTCTGCTTGCAGAAACTTCAAAGGGAACCAAAATGTTTTTGTACTCTGTTCGCGTGACCTCCCACTGAAAAATATGCTAATTTCCAAATTTCGTGGTTGCCTAGTAACGTGTGACGTTAGCTTGTGATGCAAAGATTAAAACTTGCAAAGATATCGATGCCAGAGTCACTGTAAGGGCATAAGCCCGACAATCGTCTTTTAGCAATTACAGAGGCAAGCAATGATGGCATATCTTAAGGAGCCGGAGGTGGTGAATTAAATAAAAAAATATGCTAATTTCCAAATTTCGTGGTTGCCTAGTAACGTGTGATGTTAGCTTGTGATGCAAAGATTAAAACTTGCAAAGATATCGATGCCAGAGTCACTGTAAGGGCATAAGCCCGACAATCGTCTTTTAGCAATTACAGAGGCAAGCAATGATGGCATATCTTAAGGAGCCGGAGGTGGTGAATTAAATAAAAAAATATGCTAATTTCCAAATTTCGTGGTTGCCTAGTAACGTGTGATGTTAGCTTGTGATGCAAAGATTAAAACTTGCAAAGATATCGATGCCAGAGTCACTGTAAGGGCATAAGCCCGACAATCGTCTTTTAGCAATTACAGAGGCAAGCAATGATGGCATATCTTAAGGAGCAGGAGATGGTGAATTAAATAAGTCGAAATTTATCCACAATTCACTGCTTAAATTCATCAGCCGTAGGACGTACTTTATTCACATCTTCTCCCAATAGACCACCTCATTTCATATCACATCTTGAGCGTGGAATAACTTTTCAAACTCGATTTATCCCCGCGTTCTGCTGTAATTACCTCCATATACACACAATGACCTCTTTTTAAGTAGAAAGCACGGAAAGCCAGCTAATGCGAGCATTTCTATGCTTTTTCACGGCTAATTCAGTAGATAATATTTCGTAACTTACCTTGCGCAGCTCAAATGAATATAATAAATTAGTGGTTTGCGGATGAATTGTGCCAAGACTGAAATAAGAATTGGAAATCTAAGCATCACAAACATGCTCATATTCTGCAGAAGCTGCAGCCTAAAATAGGCGAAGAACTCTGCAAACTATGGGACACTGACCAAGCTGGCGGGACTGGACAAACTCCACGATTGACAAACAGCACGAATAGACGTGGCAAGCCTTCTGTACCCACCCAAACTGATCACCACCCTACCACTGGACAGTGGCAGGGTGCACAGTACACTGCCATGCAACAGGTATACGCTACCCACACTCCCTCCATGCCAATACTTGTTCCCATTCCTTCAGCGCACTCCCGACACATCATCGCTGCACCGTATTTTCGCCCCAGCCAATGGCTGTCCACCCACATCCCGCCGTCCCCTTCGGTGCTCATGCAATGGCACTGCAGCCTCAGTCCCGTCCAGCGGCGTCTCCAAGGTTCCCCGCGGCAGTTGTTCGGGTACCCCATATAAGGACAATGGGTGCACCACCACGTGCATCAAGAGGCTCGTATAATTCTCCAAGGAGGTGACGAAGTTGGGAAAATTTCACTCTGAGGATGGGAATTTTATTGAATTTTTTTCGTATGAACCCTTTTGAGTGCAAGACTCAGATAAGTGAGGCACTAAAAGTTTAACAACCTTTGATCCTCCGGAAAACATTGGTGGAGCTCTTTTTGAGATCGATGTTCTAGACTGACTTTTCCATCCCAGTAAGCGGCTGCCCTGTCGTTCTTGTGTTAGATTGTTAAAAGTGAAAATAACTACGGAGGCATGCACTCGCTCGGTATCGTTTATTCACTTGTTAAGAAATTTTAGACTGACTAATCCTTTCCCTTCTCTGGGAAACGTTGCCGAAATAACACTTTCTCATCGAACTAGTTTCATTTTCTGCAGTCAGGCGTCCGCGTTAGCGTTTACCATAAGAGTTTGAATAGTTGTGAAGGCGAGTTTTGTGCCACAAAACTCGCCTTCCATTTCACTCGGCAAATTCCTTCTGAAGGAACTTGCAGAGTGAAATGGGAGGTGTGCAAATTCGGGGACCCTCCTGAGTACACTTCATATTGTTCTAAAAGTCATAGACCGATTGTAAATTAAAGGAAAACCCAGGGAAGAATAAAAAAGAAGACCTCAATAAACATGTAGTTTAGAAGATTTATTTAACGAGTATTGATATTTACAAATTACCGGTAGGTGTTATCGCTCTTGTCATCAACTGATTACATAACGATATGACACAGAATAAACGTTATTTAAAAATCAAATCAAGTCAAGAACGTAAAAGGGAATAACCACAAGGTACACATGACGCGCCCCCCTCCCTTACGTTTACTGTTAAAACTTTCTGGGGATAAAATATCCTGATGTACCCCCTAAGTCCATTATAACGCAGGAGTAGAACGCCTCCTAGCTCTTCGAGAAAGCCTTTCTACACGCAATGCTATATGGTAAATAGCTGATCAAAGTATCTATAGTTAATCAGGTACGCATTTATTTGTGGGCCCGCTTTCACTTTTTTCTTCAAAAACAGGCATAATTCCAAGTAATTTTGTGATGCAAACAGAAGAAAAGCAGAACGGAAGGAAAAATTCCTCGGGAAACCTATACTTGTACATAATTCTTTCTTTCTTCTAAGTTTTTCGTCCAAGTATTTACTTCATAAATAACTGCACTACAAGTAAATCATCAGATTTGTGTTCCAATTTACGGAAGTAAAGCATAGGGCAAGAGTACTTTCACTGTGCCCACTGTTCCCACTGTTAAGTCTTTCACACCTCATCTTTCCTGTTTACAACCAAGAAACCAAGGGCTGCATTTTGGTCGATCTTTGCTAAGTTATCCCACTCGTTCAACAGAGCAGAATCTAGGCTCCCATGTGCGATTCTGATCCCACTGTCAACTGGAAAATTATTGATGATAAAATAAATTCTGCCCTCTATTTCCACTGCATTGAGATTGTTGGCGGGAATACGTTTTTGCTCAACAACAGACCAAGTGTCGGTGTCTTCGTTATACATTTCTACGGGTGCAGGGTTACCACTTGGAAGAAAATTCCTGCGGTCAAAAGAATCTTTGCCCCCAGCAGCGTAGAGTTTGCCGTTCACTACTATAAGACTTGATCTGAAGTGACAACGATTGGTTGTTGCTTTCTCTGTCTCCCACACATTTGTTTGTGAATCAAAACAGAGTAAAACTGCCGGCCAGGGTAAACAACCGTAATCCGAAGAATTGAAGCATCCATAAAGAATAAACACCTTTGAATGCAAGACCGCTGCACTACTCAAAAAGCGATTACAACCGGTGGGCTGTTCACTAATGTGCCAATTACGTTTGGCGACATTGTATCGGTAAGTAGGAAGGCTGCAATCGGCAGGGATTGCGTACAAGTATTCCTCTAAAAGACACAGATTTTTTGTTTCACCACATGGGTTTGGAAGTCTCTCCCACACATTTGCCTCTGGGTCATAGCGATAAAGGCAGTAACCAATGGAGTCTTTCGCAGCAACAAACAAGTTACTACCAGCAGATAATGCACAGTAACAATGAGTGGCCTCAATTGACGGTGAACCTATTGGCAACAATTTCCAAGCCTTGGCTTCGACGTCGAAGTACTTTATTTGAGCTCGAGGTGAAACAGCAACAAGAACCTGAAATAAAATCACAAGGTTATATAAAGGATGCAAAGTAACGACGAAAAAGGAACGACGACAATTGAGGATAAAGGAGAATGACACAGACTGTAAATAACAAAGTTTTCAATTTCTTTTTTCCGGAACACACTTACCGGGTTCTTTGATCGTTGCTTTGTTTGCTGTGTAGCGGTTTGAGGTTTATGGGTAGGTCTGTGTTTATAAATTGCTGCTTCGTACACTTGCGTATAAATCTCGGGAAGTTGCTTCATCTCCTTCGTATCCAAATCGTCAATCACAACTCCAATGTCCGCCAACCCCAGACGAACTGCTCCAATAACTTTGGCTGCAACTGCCATTCTCTCCTCCTTCTTGTGGTTAATCCACTGCATCACGGATATGAAGACAAACGTCTCAGATGGAACATTGAGGTCATCTCGGCCAAGAAGGCTGACTAACTGGTTTCCACCGATGTGCGTCAAAAATTCCTTGCTCTCACAAACATCTGTATACATCTTAGCCACAGCACACTCTGCAGCGTCTTGCAGATCTTTTAACCCATAGCTCAGCGCGATCTCCCAGATGCGACAGTACGTTTCAAAGTCGAAGCAAATTTTCACAAACTTCGTCAGCAGGAAATTACAACACTGATGAACAGCGCTCGCCACTTGAAGATGATCTGCGGCAGCAAGAACCTTGGACACGGATTCCTCGTCGACAAGGAGATCTCCAGTGTAGATGGAGTCCAGTATGATCTTAAAAACATCTGGTGAAATGCTTTCATCTCTTAACTCGATCACTTCCTGGTTGGACTCCTTCATTCCATCTGTAAACATGGCGTAGAAATAATCACTACTTGCAGCCAGCACGATGCGATGAGCTGGAAAGATGTCTTCACCGACTTTTAATTGAACGTCGATGAATTGACTTTCGTTTCGAAACTGAGCACATTTAGACAGAAGAATGTCGGCATGGGCAACCATTTTGCTGAAGAAAATAATCTCACTGTACATCAACAGTAGATCAAACAGTGCCTTGCAGCAATACGGTGTTTAGGCGATCGCGTGATCACATGACCGCTACACGACAACGTCATCTCGTTACCTTGGTAACCACATCCTCCTTCGAATCTAGTGGCATAGAAAGAAGCATTCAGGCATACAATGCAAAATCATTCAGCAATGCATATTATGAAGTATTATAAACAGATGTAATGATATTTTCGAAAAGCAAATCTCGTTGAAAATCTTCAAACAAGTTGCTCATGAAGTACTCTTCATGCAGAAACAACAGGGTAGGCAATGACGTTTCGAAATTGGATGAAAACTGTTTATCAACAACAAATCATTCGTGTCTAAGAAAATTGCCATATATCTATACTTAAGGCTCCTTGGGCAATCTATGGGCGATCGATGCGCTGTAAAAACGTCGTCGCTGACTTTTAATCGAACGTCGATGAAATGACCCTCAGCGCATTTTAAAAGGAGAATCTCAGAGGATGCAGCCATTTTAACAAGACATACAATTGGATTCGCACGACTCCGTCACTCGCTTGATCGCGTGACCAGAGATCAATGCAATTAGGAAACTTGAGTTAGACAGCATTTGCATATCGCCCAGGGGAGGATAAGAAAGATGAATATTAGGAGGTAAGGAATTTGAGATCATTTGGGCTTAATCTTACAATTCTTTAGAAGAAAAGGGTTACAGCTGCGCCTGATGTCGTTCAATTATTGCAATTTTTCAACCACAAAACACTCCGTAAAGCATTTAACTTAGTGCGCCTATGAAAATACATTTTAGTAACATGGGAAGCAGCCGGAAGTTTAGAGTTTTTTTCCCTAACGGTTACAACAGATCTTTGTTTGTACCGTTAAGCCTGAGATGCTAAGACAAGAGTCTTCCAATTGATTTTCAAGACTCACCAGAATTTATTCCATTCTTTGGCCGCCGTTTGCGTCTCAAAACTTCTGGGTACTTAGGACGCTAAATTTTAATTTATTTCTCCTTCGAGGAATTTATAGACACTTTACATTAAAAGATAGACAAACCAATTCGCATTTGTCACGTAACTCAATTTTTTCCGTCAGGTGTAAAGTTTATTGCAGTTTCTTATGATCGTAAAATAACTACATGAGTTACAACGACAGACTTTCAGTGACAGTTCCGCAAAAATTTAAGCTTATGCCTAACTTGTAACTCTTAGTTCAAAACAAGAATTATCTAAATTGTGCCTGTCAGTATTTAAGTTTGATTTTCAAAGTAATGTTCAATTGGTATCTCTCGATCTCGATCCTTCAAAAAGTAAGAGGCATATGCATCAAGCAAGCATCGATTCAAAGAACTTACTGAAATCTGTATTCATTTGCTCTTGTATTTAAACGCGATCTCAACCGAATGATTGCAGTAGTTGATTGAGTGGTTCAGTAAAATCCTATAAGCCATAACATGCCTAACGTTGGCAATGCTTCAGTGTACGTAAGTAACCCATAATTACGTGCATTGGAACAGTGCCTAAGAAGGGAAAATATTTGAACGCAAGGAAACGAGTGCACTAATCTGCCTACTGTGATTATGCTTTGCGAGTCAAAGACAAAACACTAGACGATAAACTAAAATTTATTGAGCATTATAAAATGTACATTCAAGGTGAAAGTAACAATTTGATTCAATATAACTAGCATATTAAATTATAGCGCCTCAGATTTTTCAAGATCAGTACAGTTAACATCAAATTTCACTTTCCTAGGTTCTCTAGGTTCGTATCCTAAAAATCGCTCTGGAACCATAAGCACACTTGATGTAACCCTAACCCTGATAATTACAATTTTAATTACGGATTCTGTGGGCCACTTTTAATGCTGACCGAAACTGTTAACCGAGAGTCAATGATAATGTTTCTACACACAAACTTACAAACATATCTCTAGCAGCAAAACTGACGGTATGCTTTTTCATGCCATCCCTCTGCCTTTACGCGCTCACTACATAATGAGGGTCTCAATAGGGTTAACCGTTAGCCGTAAATAGGCTAAAAATCTAACCGTAAGGCGTAAAAAATTGACAAATTTTAACCTTTGGTTAAAGTTAACTGCAAAAAAATGTTTCTGGTGACAATAATGGAAAGACGTTAACCTATAGCCGTAAATTGGCCATAATTTTAACCGTTAACCGTTAAAGCTGTCACCCATTGAGACCCTCCATAATCATTTCCTAGCTCCAAATTAATGACCATGAAATACGAAAGACAAAAAAAACACACTTTTCAGTTTTATTTATGCTTATAGAAAACTCTATCATTAGTAAAGAGGAAAAAAAGCGCGAGTCTTTATTAACGTGCGGGTATCTAAATTATCTGAGGTGAATAATCGAGTAGTATATTGAATCCAGGTTCCTAACTTTCCTGAATTTAAAAATCCAAAAAACAAAATGGGTGCTTCCCAGTCCTTCTCAGTCTAAACCACGCATTAAATGTTGTTGCGAGGTGACTGCCTTGGTCCAAGAAAGGCGTAAACAAAACATTTTTTCAACATTTTATGCTGTGATAAATATTTTTTAAAACAAACCATTCAGACACTTAAATTTTGACTAAGTAATAACTTCATTTTGACCATTAATCTAGCTCCGATCTTCTTTCAATTTAAGTCTTCTTTTTTTACAGGCAAATAACACAAGACTGCCTGCTCACTTACAGTCCGTAAGTTTTTCCATTCATCAAGATTAACCTGGTGCGTGTCCTCTGGCTGAATTCTTATCCCACTGTCGACTGGAAATTTGTTGATGATAAAATATACCCTCCTTTCTATTTCCACGGCACCGAGATTGTTGGTGGGTATATGTTTCTGTTCTACAACAGACCAGCTGTTTGGTGGTTGTTTTATTTTCTTTTTACCAAACCAAGGTAGAAGTCTTTTTTTCTCCTTAAAAACTTCTACCGGTGCATTTTCACCGTACGGCCCATCGCCACAACCCCACCCCTTTTTCCCCCCTACCACATACAGTCAGTGTTATTGACAACAATAAGACTGGATCCAAAGTGAGGATAACACGTTGAGGCGACGCTTTCCCATTCATTTTTTTGGGGGTCAAAACAATGCACTAAGGCAGGTTTTGCTCTATTTGCTAAAAGCAAACTAGAAGGGTCTTCAATGATCCCATGCATAACATATAACTTATAGTTCATCACCGCCACTGCTACAGATTTTAACGCTGTTCGTTTAAATAAATACAAATTATCCCTGCACTGCTGCCAGGTGTTGTCAGCCAAACTGTAAATCTCGGGTGGACTAGATTGACTTACTGCATAAATATAGTCACCAATAGAACACAAACATTGGATTATCTTGGGGAAACTCAACTTTGTAAGTTTTTCCCAGGACTTGTTCACTATGTGATAACGATAAACATCTGATTCTACGATATTTGATGAGGCTAAATACAAACAATTTCCGATATATTTCACACTAGACCACTCTTCTACTACTTCACCTACATTTGGCACAGATTTTAACAGTTTCCATTCTTTACTTTCCTCATCAAAGTAGTAAGGCATCGGTTCCCGAACAGTTCTGTAAAGGTTTGACCTCTCCAATGGGCAAAATGCAACAAGAACCTACAGCATAATAATAAAACATCTCTTGGTGAGCAAGGGATTATAAAATCTCTTCAGGTAAGGCATCGGACAGGATTTATCGCCTCGGGGGGAGGGGGAGAGGTGGAATTCGGAGGAATAATTGTGTCACTTTGTAACATGTTGGCGACGACGAATGACCCCTCCTCCTAGGCGACAAATAATGCTGGTTCCTAGATTCAAGTCCAACAAATTAATGCGAAGTTTTTGTTGGTACACCAGGCAGAACAAAAAAAAACCTCATTTTATATGTTACAGGAAATGGGGGTTGGGTTTTTCATTGGGTTATTTTTCGCACACTTTACTCCTATAGGATTGAAGCATTTCGTTTGTAATTTTCATAACATATCGAAATCCCACAGTGAATATGAATACCTTTTAACGGAGGGTACCGATAAAAACTGTGATATCCTTTGTAGTTTAGTTACTTTGCTGAAAGCCAAAAAATGGATACAAGAAAAGATGGCCAGAAATAAAGTAGCCGAGCACACTCATAACTCAATAATCATACTCAACGTCTGCAACACAGACCCATCAGGTGTCCATCCGGTGTGATTAGAAAGTACTACAAATTAAAAGTCGTCGGCATGCGGTCTTTGTTCTCGGGAAAAAAAGATTTGTAATCCACGAAAGTACTGGAAATTCGATTCAAGGTAAATAAAAATTCGTAGGACTTTGATTGAAATCGAAGTCAGTGAATTATAGTTTCATTACTCATACTCAGACGAATCACGTTCAAACAGCAAATACAAGTTGGCTTACAGGTTCCGTATGAGTAGCACAATATAAATCATACCTGAATTACAAGCATTACTCTGCTGTTACACTAAGATTGCTGCATGTCTGTGGTTATTTGAAATATAATATTATGTAGATGTTACTGAGGTATTTCATTTTCTTCTTTTAAGGGCATTTCGGCAACAACACTAGCCAATGAAAAAAAGCTAAACAAAGCCTTCAAGGTTTGTTTTTGTAACTCTGGAGGATGGGGGAAAGTCCGAGCTGCAATAAATTTATTGAATATCTGATAATTGGAAATAGATTCCAGGATAATTTTGAGCGGCAAAGATCTTAGAAGGAACTTAAAGTAAGTGTGCCCATACTAAACTGATTTTGTTTGTAGGAATCTAAGCATGTTATGCTGGTCTTCTCTGTGCAAGGAAGTGGACACTTTCAAGGTTATTGGTCTATTTTAGGGAGGAACCTACTGATAGACACTCGCAAATAACATGTCATATTATTCTTGGGAGACCAGATACCTTGAGCCTAGAAATAACTTGAGACGGGTTGCTATAAGGCGTCTCAAATGAAGGGTTCAGCCTCCAAGTATCATCGTCTCTTGGTTTATTTAAGAACTAATCTCCGAGAATTCAAAAAGAAAGTTCTTGCCATTCTGACCAGGTTCATGTTCCCCTTTTGTTTCAGGCTATGCACAGATGACGTCACCCATTGGTAAAGACAAGTCTCTGGAGTTTGGTTCAAGTTCACTAAGCGGTGTTTTTAGTGTCGAAGTCTAAATTGATAGCCCACGAACGAATGGTGCCGAGACTAAATCAAGAATTGGAAATCTAGGAATCACAAACATGCTCATCTTCTGCAGGAGCTGGAGCCTAGAATAGGGGAAGAATTCTGCAAGCTATGGGACGCTGACCAAGCTGGCGGGACTGGACGAACTCCACGATCAACAAACAGCACGAGTAGACGTGGCAAGCCCTCTGGACCCGCCCAAACCGATCCCCACCCCACCACTGGTCAGTGGCAAGGTGCACAGTACACTGCCATGCAACAGGTGTACGCCACCCAAACCCCCTCTATGCCAATACCTGTTCCCATTCCTTCAGCGCACTCTCGACTCACCATTGCTGCACCGTGTTCTCGTCCCCAAGTTATGGCAGCCCAGCCTATGGCTGTCTACCCACATCACGCCCTCCCTTTCGGTGCTCATGCAATGGCACTGAAGTCTCAGTTTCGTCCAGCGGCGTCTCCAAGGTTCCCCGGGGCAGTTGTTCAGGCACCCCATATAAGGACAATGGGTGCACCACCACGTGCATCAAGAGGCTCGTATAATTCTCCAAGGAGGTGACGAAGTTGGGAAAATTTCACTCTGAGGATGGGAATTTTTGTGGATTTTTTCGTATGAACCCTTTTGAGTGCAAGCCTCAAATAAGTGAGGCACTAAAAGTTTAACAACCTTTGATCCTCCAGACAACGTTGATGGAGCTTTTTTGGAGTTGTTCTAGATTGACTTTTCCATCCCAGTAAAATATTTCCTCATGGTGTAAACTTCTCCAATTTCTCCACACCCCCTGACATATCAGAAAGCGACCCAGTCGTCCTTGTGTTAAATTGTTAAAAGTGAAAGTAGAAACTACGGAGGCGTGCACTCTCTCTGTATCGTTTATTAACTTTTTGATAAATCACAGACTGACTAATCCTTTCCCTTCTCTGGGAAAAGTTGTTTCTGCAGTCAGGCGTCCACGCGACCTGTTGCCATAAACGCGCGTTTGAATTGTTGTGCGGGCGAGTTTGTGAAAAAACTTGCAGATTGAAATGGATGGTGTGCAAATTCGGGGACCGTCCTGAGTACACTTCATATTGTTCTAAAGGTCATAAGCGGAGTGTAGATTAAAGGAGAACTCAGGGATGCTGGGCATACAGTCTCTAGATTAGCTAATAGAAGAGAAGAAACTAAATAAACATGTAGTTTAAAACATTTATTTAGGAAGTATTGATATTTACAAATTACCGGTAGGTGTTATCGCTCTTGTTATCAACTGATTACCTAACGATATGACACGGAATAAACGTTATTTAAAAATCAAATCAAGTCAAGAACGTTAGAGGGAATAACCACAAGGTGCACATGACACACCCGCCTCTGTTACGTTTACTGTGAAAACTTTCTGCTGATAAAATATCCCTAAGTCCATTATGACACAGGAGTAGAACGCCTCCTAACTCTTCGAGAAGGCCTTCCTACACGCAGTGTTATATAGATGATAAAAGCATCTGTAGTTAATCACGTACACGGGTATTTATGGGCCCGCTTTCACATTTTCTCATAAAGAACTGCGCTATGAGTAAAATCATTAGGGTTGTGTTCCAATTGGCGAAAATAAAACATACGGTAAGAGCACTTTCACCGTATCCACTGTTGTGTCTTTCACACCCCATCCTTTCTAGTTATAACCAGGAAACCAAGGGCTGCATTTTGGTCGATCTTTGCCAAGTTATCCCACTTGTTCAAGAGAGCAGAATCCAGGCTCCCATGTGCGATTCTGATCCCACTGTCAACTGGAAAATTATTGATGACAAAATAAATTCTGCCTTCTATTTTCACTGCATTTAGATTGTTGGCGGGAATACACTTTTGCTCAACAACAGACCAAGTGTTGGAGTCTTCGTTATACATTTCTACAGGTGCAGGGTTACCACTTGGAAGATTATTATCCCTGTCAATAGAATCTTTGCCCCCAACAGCGTAGAGTTTGTCGTTCACTACTATAAGACTGGATCCAAAGTGACGATGTTGGGTTGTTGCTTTCTTTGTCTCCCACACATACGTTTGTGAATCAAAACAGTGTAAAACTGTTGGTTCAACCGAAAGGCGATGGTACCAAGCTTTGTAGTTTCCATAAAGAGTAAACACCTTTGAATGCAAGACGGCTGCACCACTAAATGAATGAGCACCACTGATGAACTGTCCCGTGATGTTGTGCCACTTACGTTTAGCGAAATTGTAGCGGTAAGTAGTATGGTTGAAATTGGCAGGGATTGCGTACAAGTATTCCTCTAAAAGACACAGATTTTTTGTTTCACCACATGGGTTTGGAAGTCTCTCCCACACATTTGCCTCTGGGTCATAGCGATAAAGGCAGTAACCAATGGAGTCTTTTGCAGCAACAAACAAGTTATTGCCAACAGATAACGCACAATAACAATGAGTGGCATCAATTAACGGTGAATCTATTGGCAACAATTTCCAAGCCTTGGCTTCCACGTCGAAGTACTGTATTCTAGCTTGAGGTGAAACAGCAACAAGAACCTGAAACAAAATCACAAGGTTATAAATAGGATGACAAGAAACTGATAACCGAAAAGGAACGACGACAATTGAGGATGAAGGAGAATGACACAGACTGCTAATAACATACTTAATTACACTCATCTTAAAACGCAATATATTTTTAAGAAAAACTCTATTGTAGCCATGTAAGTCTTACATTTTCAAGTTTCAAACTTTTTTTTTCGGAAAACACTTACCGGGTTCTTTGATCGTGGCTTTGTTTGCTGCCTAGCGGCTTGAGGTTTATGGGAAGGTTGGTGTTTATAAATTGCTGCTTCGCACACTTGCGCATAAATCTCGGGAACTTGCTTCATCTCCTTCGTATCCAAATCGTCAATCACAACTCCAATGTCTGCCAGCCCCAGACGAACAGTTCCGATAACTTTGGCTGCGACTGCCATTCTCTCCTTCTTCTTGTGTTTAATCCACTGCATCACAGATTTGAAGACAAACGTCTCAGAAGGTGCATTGAGGTCATCTCGGCTAAGAAGGCTGACTAGTTGGTTTCCACCGATGTGCGTCAGGAATTCTCTCCTCTCGCACACATCTGTATACATCTTAGCCACAGCACACTCTGCAGCGTCTTGCAGATCTTTCAGCCCATAGCTCACCGCAATTTCCCAGATGCGACAGTAAGTTTCAAAGTCCAAACGAATCTTGACGAACTCGGTCAGCAGGAAATTACAACACTGATGAACAGCACTCGCGACTTGAAGATGATCTGCGGCAGCAAGAACCTTGGACACGCTTTCCTCGTTTACAAGGAGATCTCCAGTGTAGATGGAGTCCAGTATGATCTTAAAAACATCTGGTGAAATGCTTTCATCTTTCAGCTCGATCACTTCCAGGCTTGACTCCTTCATTCCATCTGTAAACATGGCGTAGAAATAATTACTACTTGCGGCCAGCACGATTCGATGAGCTGGAAAGATGTCTTCACCAACTTTTAATCGAACGTCGATGAATTGACTTTCGTTTCGAAACTGAGCACATTTCGACAGAAGAATATCGGCATGGGCAACCATATTGCTGAAGGAAATGATCTCACTCTACTTCAATATCAACAACAGATCAGACAGTGCCTTACGGTAATACGGTGTTTAGGCGATCGCGTTATCGCGTGACCGCCACATGCCAACGTCATCTCGTTACCTTGGTCACCACATCCTACTTCCAATCTAGTGGCAGAGAAAGAGGCATTCAGGCATGTAATGCAAAATCATTCCGGAATACAGATAATGAAGTTTTAGAACAGATTTAATCATTTCCCGAAAAGCAAATAATCTCGTTGGAAAACTTCAGTTAGTAGAAGCTAGAAGCTAGTAATGCTATCTTACAAGAAAGAACTGATTTCTCCTCTCGATATCAAGTGGACAAATCATGAAAATTAGGAAAAAACATCAATTAGGGGATTATTAGTTGATCCAATACCAACTTCTTGGAGATAACATCATAAGAATTGTACGGAAGACAGTAAGGAGAATTAGTCATGAGATCATGGGAGAGAATGGGTTAAACTACATTGACGACCTCAGCAGGTACACTGTTCATAAATCGCAGTTCAGATGGAATGAAAGACTAAAAGGCGTTGTGGCATCAATGTAGAAATCATCTGGAGGCTGAGTCAAAGGAAAAATCTGTTTAATACAAATTATTGTGCTTTAGAATAGACAAAAGAGTTAGGTATCGCGCACGTTTCTATCCAGCCTTGAAGGACATTTATCCGAAAATAGTCAAAATTACTACTGCAGAATTGTAAATAAAGTAATAACAAGCCTAATTAACCCCTGCACTGATAAGAGCCGATATCTTCTTTACTGAAGAAACAAGGGATAAGCTCTTGGAGTGGTAATTGCTCTTACAATTTACATGGATTTACATATATTTTTGGATTTCTTTCTTACCCATGAACTTGATAATTGTGCTCAAAGATTACAGGAATTGTTTTGAGGTTGGATCAACAGACTAGGAGTAACACCAACCTACTAACGTTTTATGTAAGTCGACTGCAATACAACAACTGTTTATGAGTTAACTTTTGAACTGTTTGTCAAGTCTATTCTTCTTCTAAATCAGAACGGTGAATGAACTCATTCACTTTTCGTATATTCTCTTTTTAGAGGCAAATAGCAAAGAACTGCACATTGTTCAATTTTTCCTAAGTTCTCCCACTCATCCAGTGGAACAGGATACCGCTCCTCTTGTGAAATTCTAATCCCGCTGTCAATTGGAAATTGATTGATGATGAAGTACACCCTCCCTTCTATTTCCACTGCACCAAGATTATTGGCGGGAATATGTTCTTGTTTAACAATAGACCAGGTGTTGGTTTCCTCGCTATACACTTCTACTGGTGCGGGATAATCGTGATTTTTACAAGTACATTTGCCCCCAGCAACAAAGAGTTTACCATTTACTTCGAAAAGACTGGATCCAAAATGAGGTTGGCAAGTTCTTGCCTTTTCTTTCCACTCATTCTTAGCCGGGTCGAAGCAGTGTAATACTGCTGGTTGATATCTTCCATTTATACAGCACGTATTGCCACAGAGGACAAATATTGATTGATGAACTATTGCTCCAATATTGCAGGCCTGATAAGAAGTATTTGTGCTCAGGTTTGAAATGCTTTGCCACTGCCTTTTGCCAATGTTGTACCTTCGAGGAACATGACCTAAATAAGAACTAAAAGCATAAATGTAATCTCCTAGAATACACAAATTGTTAATAAATTGTGTGGAAGGAAGCTGCTTCATCTCCCAAGCATTACTCTCTGTGTCGTAGCGATAAAAGGAAAGGCCACCAACCGGGGCTTGTCCCGCAACGAACAAGTTGCAGCCAACAGAGACTGCAGCATGGCAATTCAACGCCTGGATCGACGGTACTGTCGAAAGTAAAGATTTCCATGTTTTGCTTTGGAAATCAAAATATTTCATTTGGGCTTGAGGAAGAACTGCAATCAGAGCCTGAAATGAAAGAGTAACGTCTCCGTTAAATCCAGTTAAATCCAGTCACCGGCCTACTGCTGGTAGTGACATTCAAAACGGCAGGTGAAGAAACTGAGTCATTCACACGGATAAAGGGGATAAATTCCAAATAACTGTGATGCTGTGTCCGTGGGGAATGTAACAAGATAATTTAGTATAATTTAGAGTTTCTTTACGGTGGCTAATTCACATTATCAACTCAGCTGAGTCATTAGAAGACTTTCTCATTTCATCTCCCGTTGTTCACCCGAGTATTGATTTTCTTCCTTCTTCTCACTAACCGAGAGCTTGACACAAGCTAGATCTCTACATCATGCGTCGTTTTACCGTATGCAAACATCATGTGAATACCAGTAACAATCACAAACCAAGACAACAGTAGTATAATCCTCTTAACATTCGCTATTAGGCCAAAAGAGTACGCCCTGGTCCCCAGTAGTATTACCGCCCATCCCCACCCCCTTTGCGAACGGTCAAGCTCATCGAATACCTTTATTCATTTGAAAAGGGAAACATTGCCTCTTCATTTGAAAGATCTAAGCAGCTGGGGTATAATCCTTTTTAATAAATCTTTCACAGTCCTATCCTATGATGGGCTGTTTGTTACAAATGAGAATCGTTGAAATAACGTTAACTCACCTGACTTGTTGATCTTGGTTTAGTTCGTTCCTCAGCGAACTTGGAGAAATTAGAAGGCATGTTGCTATGGACTGATGCTTCATACACTTGCTTATAAATCTCAGGATCTCTTTTCATCTCTTCAGAGTTCAGTTCTTCAATCACAACTCTGATGTCCACCAGCCCCAGACGAACAGCTCCAATAACTTTGGCTGCAACTGCCATCCTCTCCTCCTTCTTGTGCTTAATCCACTGCATCACTGATTTGAAGACGAAAGTCTCAGACGGTGCACTGAGGTCATCTCGGCTGAGAAGGCTGACCAACTGGTCTGGTTCTATAATGGACAAAAATTCTTCGTTTTCACAGATATCCTTAAACGTTAATGCCATTTTGCTCTCCGCCGCCTCACGCAGATCTTTCATACCGTGTCTATCGGCAACTGTGCAGAGCAGACAGTAATTCTGCAGGTCCAGTCGGAGCTGAACAAATTCTTTCTTCAGGAACTCACTGCAGCGTTGTACAACACTCGCCACTTGAAGGTGAAATGCTGCAGCGAGTACTTCAAAGACGTTTTCCTCGGTGACATGAAGATCTCCAGTGTAGACGGAGTCTAAGATGATCTTTAGAGCATTTGACGTGATGCTTTCGTCTTTCAACTCGATCATTTCTTGGTTGGACTCCTTCATTCCATTTGTAAACATGGCGTAGAAATAATCGCTACTCGCAGCCAGCACGATACGATGAGCTGTAAAAACGTCGTCGCTGACTTTTAATCGAACGTCGATGAATTGACCCTCATCCCTAAACTTAGCGCATTTTAAAAGGAGAGTCTCAGAGGATGCAGCCATTTTAACAAGCGAGACAATTGGATTCGCACGACTCCGTCACTCGCTTGATCGCGTGACCAGAGATCGATTAGGGAACTTGATTTAGGCAGTATTTGCATATTGCCCAGGGGAGGGTGAGAAAGATGAATATTAAGAGGCAAGGAATTTGAGATCATTTGGGCTTAATCTTACGATACTTTAGAAGAAAAGGGTTACAGCTGCGCCTGATGTCGTTCAATTATTGCGATTTTTCCACCACAAAACACTCCGTAAAGTATTTAACTTAGTGCGCCTATGAAAATACATTTCAGTAACACGGGAACCAGCCGGAAGTTTAGAGTTTTTTTCCCTGGCGGTTACAACAGATCTTTTGTTTGTACCGTTAAGCCTGAGATGCTAAGGCAAGAGTCTTCCAATTGATTTTCAAGACTTACCAGAATTTATTCCATTCTTTGGCCGCCGTCCGCGACTCAAAACTTCTGAGTACTAAGGACGCTAAATTTTAATTGATTTCTCCTTCAAGGAATTTATAGACACTTTACATTTAAAGATAGACAAATTTGCATTTGTCACGTAACTCAATTTTTTCCGTCAGGCGTAAAGTTTACTGAGGTTTCTTATGATCGTATAAGAACTACTTGAGTTACAACAATAGACCTTCAGCGACAATTCTGCAAAAAGTCAAGGTCATACCTAACTTGAATCTTGTATTAACGCTGAGCTTAAAACTGATTGTAACTCCTAATTCAAAACAGGAATAGGCTAAATCATGCCTGTCAGTGTTTAAGTTTGATTTTTTAAGTAATGTTCAACTGGTATCTCTCGATCTCGATCTTTCAAAAAGGAATGCATCAAGCAAGCATCGATTCAAAGCACTTACTGAAATCTGTATTCATTTGCTCCTGCTTTTAAACGCGATCTCAACCGAATGGTTGCAGTAGTTTATTGAGTGATTCAGTAAAATCCCATAAGCCATAACATTCCTAACATTGGCAATCCTTCAGTGTACGTAAATAACCCGTAATTACGTGCCAGTGAACAGTGCCTAAGAATGGAAAATATTTGAACGCAAGGAAACGAATGCTCTAATCTCCCTACGTCTAGTTATGTTTTGCGAGTCAAAGACAAAACACTAGACGATAAACTAACAAATTTATTGAGCATTATAAAATGTACATTCAATGTGAAAGTAACAATTTGATTCAGTATAACTAGCATATTAATTTATAGCGCCTCAGATTTTTCAAGATCAGTACAGTTAACATCAAATTTCACTTTCCTGGGTTCTTTAAGTCGTAACCCAAAAGTCGCTCAGGAACCATAAGCACACTTGATATAACCCTAACCCTGATAATTACAATTTTAATTACGGATTCTGTGGGCCACTTTTAATGCTGACCGAAACTGTTAACCGAGAGTCAATAATAATGTTTCTACACACAAACTTACAAACATATCTCTAGCAGCAAAACTGACGATATGCTTTTTTATACCATCCCAGGGCCTTTACGCGCTCAGTACATAGTGAGGGTCTCAATGGGGTTAACCGTTAGCCGTAAATAGGCTAAAAAATCTAACCGTAAGGCGTAAAAAATTGAAAAATTTTAACCTTTGGTCGTAAAAAAACTGAGATAACCGTAAAAAAATGTTTCTGGTGACAATAATGGAAAGACGTTAACCTGTAGCCGTCAATTGGCTA